CTTTTCATCTAGCGCCATCATCAGGTCAAAATCTCAGTTTGGTTTATCAGCAAATACCTGCTGAAGTAATGACATCAGCCCAATTCCCATTGGCCTCTGCGGTGCTTTTTGTGTTGCGCTAATTAGCAAAAGCTAGCATGGTAACACACCAAACTAAGATGGTGATCATGATAAACATTGTACCTGCTAAACACCCTCATGTTAGCATTGTCACTGTTAGCATGTTAGCATACTGACGTCACAGAGCTGCTATGTGTTTGAAAAGAGAGAGGCTTCTGGACCGACAGTGAGTGAACAGCTGCATGTCTGGGCTCCATGTCCTTGTTTCATTATGCTGCAGAGAAGTGATTAGTGACTTGGTACCACTTCCTCCTCTGCTCCCGTACTGATCCTCAGAGCAGCTTCTCAGAGGGCGGCGGGACGCCTAAAGATAGCTGCTGACACTCACCCACTTGACACGACTGTGTATGACTTCCTCAGAGAAGGGAAGCCCTCCATTGACATTTATGTAAATAAAGGAAACATTGGCTTTGTCAGGCTGCAGGCGTCTCCTCTGCCGTTACCTGTGATGCCCTCTGTGTCTCAGAGATAATAAGGTTATGGGAGGAGAATGGGGGACATTTATAATTCACATTTGATACGGTTAATGCATTCAGACCTTTTCCGGTGGGAGAATACATTAGGGGAGAGTGAGCGGATATATGAAGCCATAGTAGACTATGTCATTAGGAGTTACCATCATGTTATTTATAGGCCTATTTTACTCTCTCATGGTCAGTGAATGGAGCGGGGATCCTGGAGCTGGAGCCACTTACTGAAGCAGCACAACTGTACCTCCATGGTCCTGTTGTGCTTACTGCCTTCCTGCTCACACTTCACCAGCTGGCTCCTATAACTGTTTATCTGGAGGTGTGTCTGCTTGCCTGCATGTTATCACTCATGGTAACTGTGTACTAGCAGCACTGCGGAGGCCAGAATTACACTTGTTCACATCAGAATGTGTGGAGGTTTTTGATGCCTGCAGTCAGAGCGTGCTGTATCAAGGCCCTGCTGATTACATAACAGTTATTCTTGGTAAATTTTGACAGACCCCAGCACATTACCTTGTGAAATGCTCGTTTTCAAGCAGCCTTCGTGATCCAAGTTGTCATGGTAACTGCTAAACTGCTTCTACTGTTTGTAGTTTACACAACACAGCCTGAACTCGAGCTTGTTACTGCTTAACCACACTCAGATGTGAGGTTTACTGGGGGTCCTAATAATCCGGGCTGTAATTTGTTAATGGACTCAGTCAGACTAGACACAGAGGAGCTTGCTGTGAAAGCTCCTTTATCAGAACATGGTATGTGGTGCAGATAGATACATGGCCAGTTTCCTGCTTTGCTTCCTGACTCTCTGGACGGAGAAACCAGCTCCTTGCTGTTGTTGGCAACTGTCTCCAGGAAGTGTCTCCCCTCTGCTCAGTGCTGCTCGATTTTCTGCTGCGTGTAAACAAGCTCTTTTATTCATTGTCTGGGCCAGGAGGGTGGAGGGTGGAGGGTGGAGGGGAGAGGTGGGGAGGTGCTGTGGGGACATGGAGAGAGAGAAAGAGAGAGAGAAAGAGGTGAAGTCAGTATTCAGGAATGTGCCTGGGCAAGCCTCGGGTTGACACAGCCCAGATGACTGTGAGGGAATCCTTGGCAGAGGGAAGCAGGGGAACCCCGCTCTACACCTCCAGCCCTTACCCTCCCTCCTTCGTTCTCTCTCTCTCTCTCTGTCTCTCTCTCTCTCTCTCTCTCTCTTTCCCCTTTCGTCTCTCTTGTCCTTTCAGTCAGTCAGTCTTTGTCTCCTGCCCTGGAGCTGCAGCCAGCCTGTCTGCCATAAAAAACATTATACAACCAGGGAGGCACAGTAATGGGGAAACAGGCTTATGTCAGACTGGTGGAGCATGGAAAACTGCAGAACCCACTTCTCCACATTTCTGCTGCTGCTTCTGGCAGAGTGCAGCCAGAAGTCCCCCGTGTGTTCAGCTGTGTCCAACCTGAACTCTGAACACCCTCCAGACAGCGAGTTTATTCACAATGACTCATCAGCTATGTTACACAGGCTGAGGGTGGTCATTCATGGAGCTGAGAGATGACCTATGACAAGGGTCGGTCCTCCCAGGATCTAATAGACTAATAATGTTCAGCAGATCATCTGCAGGAGACTAAGTGTCCAATCAAAGTTCTGCACTTCAGTGGTTATTAAAGAACTTATGTTCTTCTTCATGTGTTCTTTAAAAGCCTGTGTGCACTGCAACAATCCCCCCCCCCCCCCCCCCCCCCCCCGAATAAAGTAAGAAATTATTAAACCTCTTCAAACTCATTGGGCAAAAAAAATGTCCATATTGCTTTCTTAAAAACATTTGACTCCAGAAGTCATGATGTGAAATAATTTCTTCTTCTGCCAGTGGCATGTGTAATGCGAGTGCCTGCGAGCTTTTTGTTTTTGGAAGGAGGCTCTGGGCTCACGTCATGGGCCTTCCTCTTTCCAGCCCCTCTCTCGACAGGGTCACGTTTGATACTCGTGTAGCGCCGTCTGGTCAAAACATGCAGGGAAACACGAGGTTTCCACTGCACACTGAGAACACTGCTGTCATTTAGGGTTACAGTGCACCGCCTCCTAAATATAGCCGCTTTCCTCCGATCATTTTATAAAGCACGCTGTAATTCAAGTTCTTTCATTGCTTTATACTGTACATAACATTATGAGACATAGGATACCGAACAATAATATGTTGTTTATTCCGTGTCGGGATGTATGAAAACGCACTTTTCCAGAAAGAAATCAGAACTAAACACAAACACAGACTTTTATGACAGATGCAGAAAATTGAGTGGAAAATAAGCCGATCAGATGACCTCATCACTCATCGTGTTCTTCAGATCTGATGGATGCTGTTTGTTACATCGGACCTGTTCGGTCGCTTTGCGTTGGACTTGATGAGGACCTGACAAACGCGGTGACTAAGCACGCCTGTGTCTCATTATGGTGACACTGATCAACAGTACTTGTCATTTCGAATGTTTTTAGAATATGACTGATGTGTTTTCTACTCACACCAGTGACTCATGTGTGCGGTGGGTGTTGTGTTCTGGTAATCAAATCAGAGTGGTGAAGATTCTTCTCAGCTTGTCTCCAAATGCACAAAAAAAAAAGCAGCTTTTCATTGTAAATGGCTGATGAGAAAATAACAAGACAATGTGAACAAAAAGAGCAGTGTGTTTTTTATTCTTGGGTTTGGTTTCGTGGGAACTTACGCACGGACTGATGCAAATAAAGAAAAAAAAAAGGGGGGGGGGTTGTTGGTGCAGGAAGCAGCCTCTGCACTGACCACTGAGACTGAAAAATAAACTCTAGCAGTTTAGAGACTGAGGCTGCAGCATGAATGTCAATGACCACCACAGTTGTGATTAGGGAATAGTTGTTGCCTGGAAAAGCTAAAAGGTTAGCTTTATTCTGAAAGTCATTGCAGACAGAGCTCCAACCATTGATTATTTTTATTGTTTCATCTATTCAATTATTTTTTCAGTTAATTAAAAAAGAAATGACAGTAATAGGAAAGTAACAACAGTTCCCAGAGCTCTCAGCGAGGTTTTCATATTGCTTGTTTTGTGTGACTAATTGTTCCCAAATGTTTTTAAGTGACACTGACATAAAATAAAATCTGCAGATTCTCACATTTGAGAAGCTGGAACAAATATATGTTTAACATTTTTGTTTAAAAGCATCAAAATATACTTCTAGTGCCAAAAGTGAGGTTAGTCATTATGCAGAATGGCCACCAAGTGTAATATATTATATTAGTGAATTATAATTATATTCATTAATGTGTACATCACTTAAAAGTTAAGATGAGGCAAATTTTAATTCATTTACTTCTGGGTATCTTGGGATTTTTAAAGGGATTAATAAAGTTTAATCTTATTTTATCATAACCCATAATAAAACATCATAATTTAGTTGCTGAATATATTTTGTATTATTAGTCTGAGTCTGAAAAGTAGGTAGTAGCTAAAGTTATCAAATAAATGCAGTGGATTAAAGTTATAAAGTAGTATAAAATGGAAATACTCAAATAAAGTACTAGTACAATCACTAGTTTTATAACCAATCAATCTTTTCAGTCATTTCTTTGGGCAAAAATTAATTGATTCTACTCTCCTTTCTGTTTTTCATGGTCTTTTATGATATTAAACTAAATTAGATTTTTTTATTAATTTTTAAAAACACTTTTCTGACATTTAATGGACCAAATGTTTAGTTGAGAAAATAATGGATGTGAAATATGAATGGACCGAACAGAACTGAGGCTGGTTTTGACAAGTGAAATATTAATCTCACAAGAACTTCTCCGTCCACTCCATCAAAGACACGTCGAGTCCTTTATTTTAACGGTTTGAAATCATTTGTGGGCAGACAGACAGACAGACCATCATTGATTCCAGTTAACCCTTACAAGAACAACAGTCATATCAACAGCCTTGTTAGATTATGAAGCTGCTCGTTATTACAATGTCTGTGTTGAGTCATTATACAGCTGAGCTGATTCCTGAGGCCTGAAGCTTCTCTAACGGCACACTAAAGGTGGAATTTGAAACATCCTGAATTAAGGATCCTTTGTCTGTTATTCAAGAGTTAGACTGGTAGTTATTCATTTCAGTAACAAGTTCAGCTGCAGACAGTAATTCTCAACTTGAAAAACAACAGTGTTGCCGTGCTGCAGCATTTAATCATCATAACCAAACGGGACGATTCTGCAGAGCACTTTGTACGTGCACCTGCATCTCAAAGTCAGGCTGAGTTAATCAAATGTATTAACTGCTCTTTGACTTTCTCCTCCAACCCCCCCCCCCCCCCTCTCTCTCTCTCTCTCTCTCTCTCTCTCTCTCTCTCTCTCTCTCTCTCTCTCTCTCTCTCTCTCTCTCGGACCCCGCCAATTCGATTCCTTTACAACTGACGTGGTGTGACATCCACAGAGCTCCCGGCTGAAGAAGGTAAATATTGATTTTTCCAGTGAGCTGCAATCCTCCTCCCTTTACTAGCTGATTAAGTGTCTTGAGCCAGGATCTTTTCTTCTCTGTAGACTGAGGGGTAAACTTTGGGAGTGTACACTACTGCAGCTTTCCACCCACGGACACACACCACTACTCTTCTCTAAATACAGGGATTGTTCTTGCTCTTCAGCTGCAAACGAACACGAGATAGCTGATGTTGATACATTATACAGATCCTTTCCACCTTAAGTGTAAACGCACACTTTTAGTTCAGTCACTTTTAAATCAGGTGTGATACGTACAGGTGTGTGATGCTTATGTGTCCATGTATATTTCAGGCAAGTCCCTGTGGGAGCTGGTGGTGGAGCAGTTTGAAGACCTCCTGGTCAGGATCCTGCTGCTAGCTGCCTGCGTCTCCTTTGTAAGTACGAGCCAGCTAATTAAAAATGCCAGTGGCTCTCATTGTATTTCTTCGCCATCTTGATTCTCGAATGGACCCTTGTGGGATTTGAGACCCAAATTGGACATTGGCCAGGAAATTGCCACCTAATAAACTGCTCCATTAGCTTTAGGCAGCTTTATTCCCCTGTTAAAGGCTGTTCAACCTACTTTGCGGTCCCTTTTCATGTGGAAACTTGCGCATTATAGGCTTTTCCAGCCAGTGTTGATACAGTTTCAGTGAGGGGAACAGCACTGCAGCTGAACTGGAAACAAAACTATCAATCAAAGCTCCCTCGGCTGCAGCGCCTCCGACTGTGACCCTGGTTGCCTTCCGAGGGCGGTGAAGGTCGAAGAGGGGTGGAGTTGGGGAATCCTGACTGCATAATAACTTTTCCATCTATTACAGCACGTCCCCGGAGTCTCGGGATGGAATTGCTGCTGCTATTTCTGAAAGTAGGAAAATTCGCTCTAAAAATGTATATGACACAACATATCTTCTCGAGCTGTTCCCCGTGTTGGTGAGAGGCTCGGACTGCAGGCGTGGGCTGTACCTGCAGGACTTTTTGCTCACTTTTCCTCATGTAAATTAGGCTTTCCTTACTTAAAAAAAGGTTGTTTATAGTGGAGCACGGCCCCTGTTCCACTGCCGCACAGACCCTAATGCTTTACAGTGTCATCGCTGCCTGGAGAGGTTTTAGCTCAGTGACTAAAGCAAGGCTCCCTGTGACCTGATCTGACTTTAAATCAAAAGTATATTACACCCCAGAGCAGCTTTTTTTAATCACACAAATTTCAGAGCGTGTCTGCTGATGAATTATATTCCTATAGTCCTCTATAACCTTTTCACTTTTCTATCTGCTGGCTGTTTTGTGTGTCTCCAGCAGAATCAGGGAGTGGCTACAGCTGAGTGAACGAGAGTGAGAGTTAAACCTTAACCTGAGACTCATTTGTCTGCTCTTTTGAACATGAAGTTGGGATTATCAGACTCTCCTTCCTGCTTTGCATGACACAAGAGTGAAGCTTGTTAGTAGACAAAGTAGGTCAGGGGGGTGGGGCTACTTTATAATATATGACAACAAGTTTACAGCAAAAAGAAGGTCAAATTTAATTCAGCAAGCTACATCCTTATTGTGCCTCAATTCATCAAACCATTTTATTATTTCTGGTCATAATTTATGTGTTTTTCATTTTTGCTGAGGTGATAAGCTGACAGTCAACTCTCTGGTAGGGATAGTAGAGCACAGCCACACAGAAAAGCCACATTGACCACCTGAAACAATCAGTGCACTTCCTCCCTTTGATTTTAGGGAAGAAAGAGGGCTGATCTTTTATTTGTTTTTCCACTACATGAAGTGGAGGTAATGCTGAGGAGTTCAAGAGAGTACAGGAAGGGACTGAAAAAACTCAAGTGACAGTTGAATTGTATCTGGAGCCTCCTTTTGTTTACAATACTTTTCTTTTTTTTCCAATAGGTGACCTTATGCTCAATTTGATATGAATAAAATGTGTTTTTCCATTATTATTTTTTTTTTCTAATCACTGAGCGATGTTCCAAAACTCTGGAGACGCTCGGGTATAATGGGCCATCTGTTGGCATGTGTCTCAGCGTTCAGTTATGCATGTGGGGTGTGAAGAGTGCAGTGTTTAAAGCTGTAATGGGAGGTTTATTTTGGTGATTAAGCTCTGCTTTCCATACCCAGTGTTGAAGTTAATCTTAAGTTTATTTCAGATTACAGAAAGTAAGGAACCAAATTTTCCTTATTTAGTCCTAAATCCCCCTCATGTGAAGGTGGGAGTGAGGTATTCAGACGGCTCTCGGAGTGTGTGCTGATTGTGTGAAGTGTCGGGTCCGTACTGAGAGGACTGACATTGTTGCCCTCCAATCTCAGCTCAGGCAGAAGGGAGATTTACCGTCCCAAATGATGGGGAATGATGAGCTATCGACCAGGGCTCAGGCTGCCGTGACTTACACGCTGGTGCTCAATACTCTGTGGAGAATATACTCTTTTATCACTTGATAAGCCCCATCAGATCATTTAAACATAGATCCACTTTATCTCTTCTTTTTTCTCTCCGCTGCCTCTGTTGTGCAGTAATTTCAATCTCTGTGCTTGCCATTCATAAAATAATGGAAACATAAAGTCATTTCTGTGTTGCAGTGGGGAGCTTTTTCTGTCACGATCTCCTGAAGATCTACTTTGTTGCTCATTATAACTGCTACCATACAGTAACTGCCATCTCCGGCGGCTTCGCAGATTCCATTAGTTCTCAGCTGTCATATTACGTCTGGCTATAGAGAAGTAGAAGAAGAATAGTAACATAAAAGTGACTCATGAGTGTATTGGCCGTCTCTGTGGAGACGTTACTTGGGCCAGTTCTCTTCATTTAAAGTGAAATGTCTTTAACACTCTTTTCTATTTTTAGTTCTTTCAACTGGAGAACCTGCAGACTTTGGAAATCTGTAGCATTTTTGAGGCATGGCTTTAAAGCAGCTAAAATCAATATTTTTTTTTAAATTTACAATGGATCACATGACCACTTGTACCTGAAAAGGGTCAGTCATAGCAACAGGCAAAAGAATTATGACCTGACTCTGCCGTTTCCCTCATTTATACAGAGCTTTTTAGCGTCTTTGATTAGCTGTAGCTGTTTTGATTGACTCTCTCTGCTCTCATTAGCATTGCTTTTCGTTGCGGCAGACAGCTGTTTCCAGCAAAACATCGCTAACGGTATGTTGCCTACCCAGAACTAAACGATAGGAAATAAGTAGATAAAGTTAGCAGCTAGCAGGTGAACATACTGGAGAATTTAGCAGCTAAAGAGATAGATTTGTTTCTTAGAAATCTCTGGGGAGAAAAACAGAGTTGCAAATGTAAAAACTGGACATCAAGTGGCCAGAAACATGATGCCAGATGAATGCTTATGTCCCTCTGTGTCTGCGTGATGCGGGAAATAGGCAACGGTTTGCTAGCCGTTCTGCCATATCAACTTAAAAGGTCATAATATGTTAATGTTGTGTTCACAGCTTGTTTCTGCCGCCTCCAAGTGGCCAAAAAAATGAACTCTCGCAGGTTATGTGTGGTCAGTATGGTCACTCTGGTCATAATATATGATTTGATATAATATCAGCGAGTTATTAATATCACCACTAAATGTATCTTTCTTTTAAAAATAAGTGCGCTTTGAGTCTACAAACAGCAGAATAAGTACGACGAGCTGAACAGGAAAAGTCAAATTGGAGGATTTCAGATCACTTGAACAGACTGATCCCTTCACATTGGAGCAACTGGTGCTAATAAAACTCTGTACATGGTCGGACAGCAGAAAAGGAGCTACACACTTTTGGTATTTCAACATTCACTCAGTGATGTTGTCACACACATATTTTGCATCATCAGATATCAGTTGCATCTCATCTCGGCCATTATCTGCATAGTAATGTCAAACGTCCTTCTGAGAAGTTATTTTAACTCTGCAGAGAAATTTAGCTTGAAGTTGATTTAATACGCGGTAGACGTTCCAAAAGCTTGTCTCTGTCTTGCATTACAACACTTATCATTCTCACTGTTTTAGCTGTCCTGTCATTCAAACCATGCATGGCTCCCGCTCGGGTGCACGGTCAACCCAAAAGACACGGCGCCACAGAAAGAACTTGATCTCACGAAATCCTTGTGTGTGATTTTCCTGCCATCCAGGAGCTTTGGTGTACTGGTACGAATCTGTGCTCCTGCAAAACTGGGCTTCAGAAGAATAAGAAGAAGAAGAAGTGTTTTAAATTAGCCCAGTTCATTTAATGTAATCCCAATGATTTTATTTCCCCACTGATCTAATTTCATGCAGGATTTGATTTATTTTTATTGCTCTTGTCATTTTAGGAATCATCTTCCTGCTCATGGCAGCCCAACATTTAGGGATTGTCATTACTTGTGTGTTTGTGTGTGTGTGGAGCTTTTTTTCTGAAGGATTTTTTTTTTTAAACACACCCATCATTTGTTTTCATTTCTTTTTAAAATTTTCACCAGATTCATGAGTAAAGTAGACTAAACTTGCTAAATTAAACTAAAGTGAGCTAAAAATGTATATCACAGTCTACTTAGTGGATATAGAAATGCATGTTAGACTATTAACTATTGAATTATTTTATTATATTTGTTTTGAATGCCCACAGGCACTGTTGGCTTTTCCTGCTGGAGGAGAGAAATGTTAGCTTTTCTTATGTTTTCACTCTGCAGCATTTTGCTGTTGCTGTTATTTCCAGCCTGAGATGCTCACAGCCTCTAACAGTATTTACAGTGCTGCAGAGGACAGGCCTGGACTCAGTGGTCATTTCTCAGCCTTTCTGTTTTTTCGAGTGTGATTGCTGTGAATATAGCAGGCCATGATTTGATCTCCTCTGACTTCTGCCACACTCGATCACCAACCAGAGGCAGTTCTGCAGTTGCCAGGGGTTACGCAGAAAAACTGTAGAGTAGCTCAAGTAATTTAAAGATTAGAAATATCTACACATTGAATCAGTTAAACACCGGAACACCTTGTGTAGCAATTAAGCATGAAAAAGTGAGCTGTGAGGTATGAACCTATAAAAAGAGGTAATGGATAAATAGTAATACTTGGAGTGGTGGAAGTAATGAAGAAACAGTTGAAATAGTAAAATTAAACCATGGTTGAAATAGTAAGCTGTAATGGACAAATAGTTAAGCTTACAGTAAAACAGTTCAAATAGGTAAAAGTAATATCCAGCTCCTGCCACACCAAGTTATAGTATGAATGCAAACTTATCCTGACCTAAAAAAAAAGCACTTTATTGTAATAATATCCACTTTTGTATGTTTATTAGTGTTAAAGAACATCCAGGTTAAAATGTATTAAAACTTATTGGTTAATCCCGCTGAGATAGAAAAACATAGTAAAAATAATTCATGGACAGGCATTTGCAATACAATTTGAATAACAAATAAATAAAATTACAAAATTGTAATAAAAATAACACACAAGGAAAAACATATAAAACACAGCCAACAGCCTCATCTGTTAAAAACCATTGGATTCTGTTTTTGGGAAGGTTTAAAATCTTGTTTCTAAAATGTGGATAACTAATAAAACTGTCCATTTCCATGTGTCTGGGGCATTGAATCCAAATGCAGTCTTCCCCAGTTCAGAGTTAACCGTAGGTACATGGAGTGTTAGCCAATCATGTGACCGGACACGCCTGGAACAAGATGGGTGGTGTAAGCGAAGGGGTCCTTGAATCCATCTGACGTGGCTGTGGGGCTACATCAGACAAAAAAAGTGTGCTGTAGCAGCGCACACTTACTGGAACTGAGCAGCTTCTGTCCAAATACTACTTCACTCTGCTTTTCTGTCTCCAGTTTTCCCTGCACCACCATTACCCCCCCCCCCCCCCCCCCCCCAAAAAAAAAAAAAAAAAAAAAACATGTTTGAGAGAAAAGCTGTCCTTGAAAATGTTTTTGAGCTGAGGAGTCTGATATGTCTGTCAGCTGAGGTTGTGTCTACTGTATGTCCATATAGGTGTTGGCTCTGTTTGAGGAGGGAGAGGAGACGACCACCGCCTTTGTGGAGCCTGTTGTCATTCTTCTTATCCTCATTGCCAACGCTGTTATTGGGGTCTGGCAGGTGAGATATACTCTCGTCGTCCTGTGTCTCTGTGTGAAGTGTGCATGCATATGTGTAATGTTTCTTTTTTCAGCCGGTGTTCTCATGGTTACAAGGGCTAACAATGGATAAGGAGATGGTGTAAGACAAACATAAATGAATTACCCAGTCCACCAGCTGTTGAAGGATTCATCGTTAGTGTCGTTTTATCTGTGTACTAAATTCAAACTGACACCGTGTGTTTTACATCTGTACGTCCAAGCCGGCTGTTGACGGTGGAGCAGTCAAGTCTATCCGGTCAAAACATAAACAAACCACGGAGCTCATGCAAAATGCCCTCTTCATTCATTTGTGTTGTAGAGGAAGCAGACGTGGATTATTCCTCAAAGCGTGACCGTGACTTTCTCTTCTAGTTTGCCTTGCTTGTTTGTTTTTTTTTTCACGATGCCATAAAGCAGAATAACCTGTTTATTGTAAAACATCAATTTAGCAAGACATTTTAAAAATGCCCCCTTGGCGTCACTTCCTGTTTTCACATTTTTCTGGCACGTCTCCCCGTGCAGGAGCGCAACGCTGAGAATGCCATCGAGGCCCTGAAAGAGTACGAACCGGAGATGGGGAAGGTGTACCGCATGAACCGCAAGGCCGTCCAGAGGATCAAAGCCCGAGACATCGTCCCAGGGGACATAGTGGAGGTGGCAGGTAAGCTGCGCCTGCACCCGGAGAAACTCCTCCTGTCGCTCACTGAGACTAATTTATACCTTGTCAACCTCCAGAGGACTTTCACTGCTGTCACCCAGCTGCCTGTGTGATGCCGCCGCCGCCGCCGCCAAGCACAGAAACACACACTCACACAGCCTTTGCCACCAATTCATGAGTCTGGAATCACTGTTGGAATATCTCAGACTAGATTACATAAGAGTCTTCTCTCTGGATGTGCAGGTGCCAGGGCTGTTATCCAGTTGTGTCTATTTGCGTGTGTGTGTGTGTGTGTGTGTGTGTGTGTGAGAGGTTGTGTGTCAGTGGCTGTGGTCACCCCTTGTATTTAAGGCCCAGTTTGATTTTCCACAGCTTTCCCCTTCCCTTTGCTTTCCATGCTCTCAGTCTCACCACCTGGACACTGCTGGATGTTTGTCAGCTCCTCACTCACACTCCTCTACGTTACATACACACAGTTCCCCGGCTGTAAACTCGCCCATGTGTGGGCAGCCGCCGCTAAAAATAGTCTTGTTGTCACTCTGGTTCCAGAACCTCTGTGTGTGCCAGAGTTAATGTGCACACACACACATACACACACACACACATACACACACACACACACACACACACACACGTAGCACCAAGGAGTTCACTCCACCATCAACATGACCGGCTTCAGGAGGGTAACCTTCCGCAGTTGCACGGCTAGTGATTTGTCTCAGACAGTCGCAGAGACGTGTGTGTGTGTGTGTGTGTGTGTGTGTGTGTGTGTGTGTGTGTGTGTGTGTGTGTGTGTGGAAGGAGGCAGAGCTCAGGAAGTGTGTGAGAGATCACAGCATTCATTCATAAGTGCAGCACAGAGAAGCAAGGAGAGGGATTATACACGGCGCGTTGGTTACAGCGATGCCTCGGCTCAATTTCATTTCAGCACAGGGTTTGAAAAATGAAAATTGAATCATCCATCCAAGTAACGATCACTGAGGGGTTCTCGGCCCGGCCCCCACAGGCAAGTCAGAGTTGCACATTTTTAGAAAATTAAATCAAATCCACTAAACTGTTTCTCTTGATATTTATGGAGCCTAATTTGCATGACTTGCATGGGAAAGAAACGCCTTTGTGTGCGTTTGTGTGTGACAGATAGCACTTCCTTGGAATTTGGGCTTGTTACAGCCGGTGTCCTCGATCACACGTGCGTACGCGCACACAGCAAGACGCTGACAAGCCCACACTGGTAGCAAGCACCGAAATGACTCCACTCAACCCCCATCTACCGCGGCTACCAGCGCCGTCACTGTCAACACCGGCAGTGTCACCATGACAACACCCCCGTGCCCAGCTCATCTCGGTGTCGCTGAAGTTCACAAGGGGTTGAGGTTTAACGACACCTGTGATGACAGCGAGGAGGGGAGGCAGATATGACTTCAAATGAACCAGCTGCTGTTTGAACAAGGGATCTGATATTATTGCTGGCTGTCAGCAGCTGCAGGAGGAGCCATGTTGGTTCTCCCATTGTGGGGAGCGGCCAAGGTCAGAGGATAACAAACTGAGTTCCAAGGCTAACTCGTCTTCTGTTGATCAATGAGCCTTTTCCTGAATATAAATTATAAACTCGCAAAAGAAAATAAAAGACATTTAGAGGAGACCGTGGTTTAGACGCAGCCTCATGAGCTCAGTTTATCCACCTCCCACCATAATCTACATTATATTAGAGAAAAGAATACATTTTGTTTCTGTTCTTGGTTTTGTCCTCACTCTTTTTAATTTACTTCATCACTTTCCTCAAGTGCTGTACGTGCAGGAGAAGGAGAGGAGATATTAGTCGTAGCCAGCAGCCAGATGGTTGGATGTAGATGTTAGTGCGAAACTCATCAAGGCTGCAGCTCCAGTTTAAGTGTATGAATGCTTTTTACTGTCAAGAGTTTACTTTAAGAAGAGACATGACAGTGGTATTATGCACCCCGCAGCATTTTTGTCAAATATACACAGTCATATATTCAGGGCTTCGTTCAGTCTGACATAATGCTGTTGCTAAGCAGTTTTAAACAGGGGTAAACAGCCGAGGTAGGTACTGCACCACACGCTCCTCTCACTTAGAAAATATGTGTGTCAGGGATCTTCAAGCGCACCCTCCTGACTGAAATATGTAGGGATACAGTGACAAAGAAAGCAAATTAATATTTTCCTTTCCTACGTTGATTTCCCAGGCTTTCCTGTGCTTCAGATTAGCCGCTGGTTGTTCCATGGGAACTTGATGTTAGGGGGTAAAACAAACTGTGTGGAGGTCTCGGAAAAGGACACTGTTGACCACAAGTGCCTTTGAGGAGAGAAAAGAACATAAATATATTTACTCGAGTTTCCACCGCCGCTGCCCGCTCTCCTTCTTGTAGGTACACCCCGGCGATGCCAGCCACGGTTACGACACAGTTGTGATTTGCGCCTCCACTGGAACTTTCCTGGGTTTTTTTTTTTTTTTAGATGTGAGTGATGCAGTGGTCAGGTTGTCAGGAACTTGTAGAGGATTTACACAGGACCTGAAAGCTACACCACGCCAAGCCGTTCCCAGTAAACGAGTCACGGTTATCCTGCACGTGAATCACGACCTCTTTGCCAGTGTATTATGCAAGACAGTTGTTTGGAGTCCAGTTTTACCAAATGGAAAAGGAGCTCTGACTGTTCAAACCAGATGACTTCCTCAGTTGTTTTCCTCATGTGTGCATGTGTTACGTTCCAGTTTATTCATGAATAATGAGCTACAATGATCATTTAAAAAAAATTTTTCTTGCTTTTATACTCGAATCGCTAATAATAATAGCTAGACAAATTTCTGATCTTTGTAATATTTAAAACGGTGCTTATGTGAACTCAGTGCGGCTGAGTGAGGATTTAAATTTCTCTTCTAGCAGATGGAGAGTGTCTGTGGGAGGCCGTGGCAGAGAGTGAAGGTTTGATAGGGGAGCAGGAGTCTGTGGGTAGGCGTTTGAAAAGCCTCTCTTTTCTGCCCTCAGCCAGTCCTGCTACAGTGAACCTGTAGCCCCCGGCCACCTCCCACACAAACAAACCACACACTTCTTCTCTCCCCCTCCGCCTCTCCCACTGTTGTTCTCTCCCAACCCATGGGTGTCAGACAGAGAAATACAGAAATGGAAGAGGAGGCTTTTCAGCTTTTCACCCAGCATGGCCTCTTCATCTCTCTCTCCCTTTCCCCCTCTCTCTCTCTCTCTCTCTCTCTCTCTCTTTCTCTCTCTCTCCCTTTCTCTCCATCTCCGTCCCGTCAGGAAAAAGAAAAATTCCTCTCCAGTCTCAGAGCACTGAGCAAATGTCAGAAGAAGTGAGCACTTAGAAAACTTCAGTGTGAGGCCAGTTTGAGACAGAAGACTTACTGCCTGTCGAGTGTCTTTCAGCGCACGAGCGAGGACCGGGAGAAAAACAAAAAAGATGTCCAAGCTTTTTTCCTGTTGAAAAAAAAAAACCATGATGGATTCACAGGCAGGACCTTGTTTTGGTTTGCGATTAATGTGGAGAAGCACTGACGGCTGAAGGCTCTGAGTTGGCATTAAATGAGACGCTCATTACACAATAATGATCAAGTCTTTTTCCTTTTCTCTCATGCTGGAAACAAACAAGTGACGAATATTACATCTGTCTTGAGTGTTTTGAGTCATTTCCCTCTCCTCTGCTCTGGGACGATTGCCATTGACTACATTAAATGATCAGTTTTACACAAGCCAGCTCTGTCCTGCTTTTATGAAAATATTTTCATTAAATGTTCATTGTCGGGCTCTGACAAAGAGGAAGCAATAACCATTTTGTTTTGGGGCATTAGATACTTAGCTCTGGCTGAGAAATACGACTTTAATATGCAGCCTTAATAAGCAGATTGTAAGGTGGAAAAGACTGAATGCATCTTGTGGATTTACTGCAGGCTTCGTCTGTAGTGTACGTCTGACATGTGTGAGGACGGGGTGTATCGGAGGAACGGAGAGAGTTGCTGAGAGTGAGGAGAGAACAAACTGGAGGTGAAATAATCAATCATTTTAAAACAGCAACGTGACTCCATGGAGGTTGTATTGAACCTCTATTTACTTGTGGCTGCAGCCGGAGCCCGGGCTGAACCCACCAACGTTTCTTTGCTCAGGGATTTATTGTTTGAACACAGACACTCGATAGGGCGTAACTGAGTGTTCACCTGCAGCTACACTTGTGGACTCCTCCGAGGAGTTCAACACAGGCCGAAGGTCAAACTTATCAGACGGACAGTGTCCTCTTCGCTGTCCTGTTTTCTCTATATTGTTTGAATAAGGTGGGCATGTTAGCTCCTGCTGGATTGCCTTTTGTGTATTTTCTTTATCCACTATAGAAAGGGTGGCGGTTTTGATCCGTCATTCCACCACTTTGACCCAGACTGAAAAACTATTGGATGGATTATCATGACATTTCTTGTAGAAATTCATTATCCTCAGAGGATGAAGTCTAATTACTTTAGTGATCCTCTGACCTTTGCTCCGTTGCAGCGAGCGGGTTGACATTTGTGATTCAGAGAGAAAATATCCTGAGAACTGTTGGATGGATTGCCACAAAACTTGTTTCTGATATTCACATTCTCCAGATGATAAATTCTAATGACTTTGGAAATCTTTGGACTCCTCCTCTAGCCACCACCAGCAGGTCAAGTATTTCACTTATTCAGTGAAATAGCATCTATGAGGTGGATTAGCACAACACTTTGTATATTGCAATAGTAATCTCTCACATTTCCTTTGAGTGAAATGTCTCAACAAGTATTTCAGGTCCCTAGAAGATAAGTTGTAATAACTTGACGATCTCTTGATTTCTCAGGTCAAACCACCGTCATCGGGTCAAAATTTGACATTCCACGAGTCTCAACTGTACTTTGTGCTAATTAGCAAATGTTAGCATGCAAACAGGCTAAATGAAGGTAGTGAACATTGTAAATGTTATACCTGCTAAACATCAGCATGTTAGCATTCTCATTGTGAGCATGTTAGCATACAGTACTGACGTTAGCATTTAGCTCAAAGCTAAGTGCAGCCTCAGAGAGTTTCTAGCATGACGCCTTTCCTCGATAACTTAAACTGATTTTTCCCTTTTTTTTTTTAATATTTCAATATTCATTTTTTGGTAATCTCAGCCTCTTTGTTTGTTTTGTTAGTTGGTGACAAGGTGCCTGCTGACATCAGAGTGACCTCTATAAAGTCCACCACCCTGCGAGTGGACCAGTCCATCCTCACAGGTATTTCTCATCTCTCAGTCCAGCTTCAAGGCTTTCGGAGTAGACAGAGAAGACTCCTTTTATTGCACCTTTTATTGCATGAACTTAGAAGACCTAAGGTTAAAAGTGTTCTACAGTTTTAGTTTCAGTGATAGTAGGTTTCTACCCCTCAGGCTGTGAATGTAACTTTGTTTGGCTTGGTCATGTTTCGAAATATCCCATTGTTGGTCTAATACTTATCACCTGTCACACTTGCAGATCTAATCGTGTAAACTGTGTCGTTTTCTTTTCTTAAGGGGAGTCTGTGTCCGTCATCAAACACACTGACCCTGTCCCTGACCCCAGAGCTGTCAACCAGGACAAAAAGAACATGCTGTTTTCTGTAAGAACATCTCCCTGCAGCTCCCCGAGTCATGTTTATCTTCTGACTTCATGGCAGGAATTAATAAAACCCTGACTTTTAGTCACATCAGTGAATATAGGTTATATCAGATTGCTTAATGAGTTTATGAATGTTTATGCTTCATCGCTCACTTTGATGATTTATTTGGAAATATGACTGAATTTATAACTGAGAGATTTTTCTGCTTCGCACTCTCTTTTTTTTTTTTTTTTCATCAGGGCACCAACATTGCTGCAGGTCGCGCCATAGGTGTCGTCGTCGCTACCGGCGTGACCACAGAGATTGGTAAGATCCGTAACCAGATGGCAGCTACGGAGCAAGAGAAGACGCCGCTGCAGCAGAAGCTGGACGAGTTCGGACAGCAGCTCTCCAAGGTCATCTCCCTGATCTGCGTGGCCGTGTGGGTCATCAACATCGGCCACTTCGGAGACCCCGTCCACGGCGGCTCCTGGGTCCGAGGCGCCATCTACTACTTTAAGATCGCTGTGGCCCTGGCTGTGGCCGCGATCCCTGAGGGCCTGCCCGCTGTCATCACCACCTGCCTGGCCCTCGGCACACGTCGCATGGCCAAGAAAAATGCCATTGTTCGCAGCCTGCCGTCTGTCGAGACCCTGGGCTGTACCTCTGTTATCTGCTCTGACAAGACGGGCACCCTCACCACCAACCAGATGTCTGTTTGCAGAGTAAGTGGCAAATAAGGAAACTGAAACATGCTTATTGTTTGAGTGAGGATGTGGCTGTTGATAATACAGTTTAAGACATAGACACACAGCTGAATTTGTTCCAGAGCAGAAGCTTATCATTCAATTTCCACATCCGATCATTTGATTGACACCTCTAAAAAAGCTTCTGGGAACTCCCTCCGAAAAAGTGTTTTGCTGTTCTTATTGATGCCAAGTCTCCACAGTTCATCCGTCTTCGAGATTCTTCTTTTTCCCCCCGTTTTTTTTTTTTCTGTCTTTCCTTTCGTGCAACTGGAGCTTAAAGTAGAATGGAAAATCTTTTGTGGTGTTGTAATGTTTACCTCCACTTTGGCAGGTCTGAGATAGCTGCTGGTGGAGTAGTACAGGCTGGCATGACCCAGCAGCACCCAGCGCACTACAGTATATCAGCTCACACACACACACACACACACACACACACACACACACACACACACACACACACACACACACACACACACACACACACACACAGTGAAGGTTTCCAAAAGGTCACATCGCTTGAATAAACACAATACAGTGATCTATATCCTGAACTGTCCTGTAGCATTCACTGTATAAATGGTGTATATTTAATTACATTACACAACAAACAGAGAGATCTTATCCACAGGTATTCATGAGTGTTCTCCAGCACAAAGCCTCGCCCTTTCCTTTGTGTCTGTCTGTGTGTGTGTGTGTGTGTGTGTGTGTGTGTGTGTGTGTGTGTGTGTGTGTGTTGTTCACCAGCCATCTTTGCTCCAAGCGCAGAGTAAATGCCAGCGTGGTGTTTGTCTTGGCTCCCGTTAAGGGTTCCAACACACACACACACACACACACACACACACACACACACACACACCTACAGTAATTTCAGTTAACACTTCTTGTCTTCTCACCTCTCACCTCAGCTAATACTGGGCAGCACTGAAGTCATGCCCAGACAAACCAGGTGTCAGAAGACGGTGTTGTCAGCTCGTTCTGGGATTTCCACTAGAAAAACCTAGATGTCACGTGTTTAGGGTTTATTGATTACTGAAACGGTGTTCGTTATTGGAATCTGGTCAATTTGTTGATACTTATTCATTATTCATCAACAGTACCAACAGAGTGTTTGGCATCATTTTGAAGTCAGGAGTTAAAGTCTTTACAGGACCTGAAACAGACCCAACATGCATAGATGAATTTTCAACAAAGAGAGACCTGATCCGAATAGAACGGAGCATAATTAGATCAGTTGAAAGAATGCCAATAATTTAAAGTCCTCCCTCACCAACTTGGACAAGATCATAATAATGATCGTCTTGTGTAATTCATGACAATAATTTCTTAAACACAGTGTTTTCTTGTGCTGTGATGACGACATACCACGTGATCAGAGCTGATACTGAGTATGTTTCCACACACTGTAGATATCAGACATGTTCACACACAGACCTGAGACCTGGGACTTCACCTGAGGTCAGGTCCTGTGAAGAGATGATTTTAATTTTCCTCAACCTTTAGTTTGAAGTCAGAAGAAAAGCTGGTGTGGGCAGAGGGACGGAGCCTGAATCTGGGTTGGGCTTAAGTGGTCGCCCACTTAACGGCGAGCCTTCAGTTTATAACTGTAGCTGAACAGCATTCACGGTGGCCACAAATGACAATTACAGGACAGAGACGAATCAAACTTCCCCTTTTCAGTTTTTATTTTTTTCATCGTGGTGCTTCCTGGAGTTATTTTTCGTGGTTATCTAACCTGTGTTTGTGGTCTGCTGCGTCTGCGTATGTTTTTTTTATGGTTTTTGTGCGTCAAGGTTCATTGCTCAACACAAATGTTTGCCCAGGCTTATCCATCTGTGCTTATTCTTGGACTGGTCTCCAGCCACTGGCCCTGATAGCGCCATGTGTCTCCCTTGCCGCGGGGGTATCCCCGTAGCGGCAGGATTTCCAGGGATTCCCCTCTGTGTCCTGACACTGCACTTCCCTTTTCCCGTCACACATGCAGATGCACACAAACACGCAGACATAAAAAAGGGTTACTCACCATTCATCTACGCACAAGCTCAGTAGAGGGGTGTAGAAAAATACAAACTTGTGCCACTACCACTGAGTCACATGGATCACACTGTGCCTTGTTTCCTTGGAGACCACAGCGGATCAGATGTTGAGGGAAACTGACCACGGATGAGAGAACAACCTTATTATATTCCTCAGGCCCTACTTTGTGCGCGCTCTGTCTCTGAGTAGTGATTTGTTATAGCATTGTGGAGCAGAGAGGAGCGAGCCTGATGACCTTTGTGAAATTAAGAATTGAGCGGAAGGGCGAGGCTATTTAAAAGACCCTTAAAGGGACAGTACATCCAGTTATGAATTTAAAAAAAATCAGTGAACAGAAATATAGGGAATAACGGAGTACAGTGCTGCACGCAGTCTCCCTTTGCTGCTGTGAGTTATAAGGCAGAGATGGAATAAAGCAGTAAAAAACTAACTAGTTCCCCATCCATCTAGTTAACCTGTTGTGTCTTATTAAACATTGTGTAAATGTAGAACAGTACAAACAAACATCTTGCACAACCTGATATGAGGCAAACACTTTGCATTCAGCTCAAGGCAGCATACACAAACAAACAATACACAAACCCGCTAATGACAAAGATTGCATATGAAAGTTAGGAAAAAAAGAATAGAGGATACATAGAACAAAAGAAAGAAGAAAGTGAGAGAATATTGTAACTTTTTGAACTTTAAAGTTATTCATATTCATTAGTCCTGGTTGATTCGGTGACACCCGCGGTTAGTGGTGGTACAGCAAGATTAATAGTAGCTGGTACATCTGTTTGCAGCGCAGCCAAACAAACTCACTTTGTTTTAATAAAGAAGTCAGTCAATCAATTTGCAGCGCAGTGTGAGTAGTTTTCCTCACATCAGCAGGAAAAAAAAACAGCTGGTTACCTCGCTGAGGAGACTGAGGTGTACAGCCGGTTCCCATTACTTTGTGCAAAATATTGAAAAATGATCATCTTGCTTTGCAGACACCACTGCTGTCAGTGCTAACATGAGACAAACACATTGCGTTTCCTGTGTCTGTTTCATAGTAAAGGCCATCCTGTGTTTCACCTGTAGAATGCTTTTAATGTGACGGTGAGCTGTGAGCCTCCACTGCGCTCGCTGTGTTCCCCAACACTGATTGTTTATGAATTGATTAATCGCAAATTTAAAAATATGCAGTAAGTAAGCATTAATGTGTAAGTAAGTAAGTATTAAAACTAGGTTTTGACACAAGTGTTACACAGTTTCAGTTGATATTAATCAGTTTATCAAATGAACTAATTGCCACACCAGTGAACTAGCTGCCCACTCTGCCCAGTTGGTAATTCAGACTTGACCAGCAGCAGTAGGAAGTGCTGGGTTTGTATTATATTGCATTAAGTTAATACAGTTCTGACACAATCAGGCTGATCTAAATGAGATACTCAATAATGCTGTGTTACATGCATGCATTGTTTTCTAAGAATCAGTTGTAGGTGACTTGAATCAGGAAAATCTGCAGAATTATAACAACCTCTTTATGTAATTACTGAGCACATTCGTGTCTCGAAATAACGACACGTCACAGTTACAGGTGTACAGGTGAATGGAACTACAGCTACAGCTTCAGATCACTTCTGCCTCTGTTTAAGGAAAATGTCAACACTGTTGATGTCAAAAATTACAATGGCAAAATTGCATGTTCTCACAAAAGCTATAATCTCACAGGCTATAATTATGATTCAGTATGACAGTTATTTATAACTGTGTTTCATCCAAACTAGACTACAGCAGTAGACTAAATGTAGTAACCCTGTTGGCTCAGAGAGATGTTGAGGAATAATTACTCCATTAAGAGGCTAAGACGCGCCTTTCAGGCTCATACGCTGGAGGGACCCCAGCTGCCCCTCATCTCAAGTCCATCATTGATTTTGCGTTCCTTTTTAAATCAATGGGTGCTGGTAAGTCAGTGACACACACACACATGCGCACACACACACACACTCACACACCCGCACAGAGAATCGAGAAGGAAATCTCATTTAACTAAATAGCTGCTTCATTAATTCTTCAATCAGCTGGATTTAATGGAGTCTCAAACAGAGCTTAGGTGGGTTATAAGGGTACTTTGCCTCTGTGTGTGTGTGTGTGTGTGTGTGTGTGTGTGTGTGTGTGTGTGTGTGTGTGTGTGTGTGTTTACTGTTTGCTGAACTGAAGTGTCAGGTTATTAAAAAAGTGAATATTGACAAAGGAATGGAAATCAAGGGCAGTCTTTCAGCCTGCTGTGAATTTATGTATTTAGAAGGTGTTCAGAGGCACAAAGAGGCCTTGGACTGTGAATAGTTGTGTGTCCCCATTCTTATAAGCAACCGGCCACCGCACTGCCTCCTTGTTTTCATCGATATATTAGTATTACCAGTACGTCGTGAACTGCCCTTCAGGAAGAAGATTTGCCAACAAAGCTGCCAACAAAGCAAATCCTTGGACAGCTCTGGGGCTCCAGCTCTTTCTCCCACTTTCTCTGGCTTGTGCTCTGTTTTTCTGCAGTGGACCGGAGCGTGTACGGTCGTGTGAGAGTGTGATTGACTGATGAAGCTTTACACCGAGACGTGAGCGGTGGAACTCCCGTGTTGCTTGCGTGTTTGGAAACACTAAACAATCTTGGGGGGGGGGGGGATTCTTGCCCCTGGATTGGTCATAGTTTGAACTCCACCTCTCCAGTGACCATTTTGCCAGTCTGCAGAATACTTCCTGTTTACAGCCACTGTTTGATTTTCATAAATACTTAAAACCTTTAATTTGTCCAGAGTGGATGAAGAAGAAAGGCAAGAATAATTGGTGTTTCTTAGTAGCCTCCTTACACACGATGCAGCCTTCATTGTTTACTTGAAGTGTGTTTTGACACCGTGGCGTTACGTGTGAATTGGAAGCTGATAATGCAATAGCACTGAATCACTTGGCAACTCAGCTGTTCAAGATGTACCAACAGCACCACCACAGTTCCACTCTGGCTTTTTATGACAACAGAGGAATAATATTATTACCTGTGTGAGCCACACAACACAAGGACACGCTGCAGAGCCAGTTTTTTATAAAATGAACTATTAGACTGTGATTTTCAGCTTAAAATTAAAAGCTGAATTCATCACCAATAAAACACATCTTTGCTCATTTTAAATACACTCGCACTCGCGCTGCCAAAGCCTCACCTGGTCTGGAGTGACCTGCAGTGGATACTGGCTCATGTTAGCAAACTATTGCTGTGCAACCGACATCACTGAGTCTCTTTAAGACTTTATGCCTCTTCTCTGCATTATGTTTTAGCGTTTACTATTATTCCAGAATAGTTACTGGTGGCCACAGTAAATGCAAAATTCACACTTGAAGTCTCTTCAAGTGACAGTTCGTAGACTGTGAAGTGAAAAAGATCCACTATTATCATATAGATATCATCTATATGTTGGTTCTGACACTTAGTTGAAGCTACAGTTTACACTAAGTTGTTTATTGATGACCTCATTACCTCAACATCCCATTATAGGTGCACCATTACACAAAATGTAAATATTCCAGATATCCTTAGCACCTTTATATTCACATTTCCCCACATTTAAAGACAAGCTGTATATTGTCTATGTTTTATTTTCTTTCCTAAATCACATGGATATTTACATGTAAAATGGATTTTTAGCAAAAATATGCATGTGTGGATCTTGACGAGGCGTGCCCAACAAACATGCCTTTCTAATGATGAAACCACTGGCGGGTAAAGTTTGTATCAAGATAACCATTCATCGTAGTCACTACTGTGACTCCCATGTTGGTTAAAACTAGATTTCAGTCCACAGGAGAGTCAGTGAGTCTACTTTCATTCACTAGTGCAACTAACAAGGTTGTTGTTTTTTTTTTTTCCAGCTCCAAAGACAGAAAGGCTGACACAGATTTCTTCATTTGATCCATCCTAACTGTTTAACAGCGGTGGGCAGCCGCAGCTACACAAGGACCAACCACAGTTCTCACTAATTACCTAACTACCGCCTCTGTTTGTGTTTGCCTTTTTCTCCTGTCCAGATGTTCGTCGCAGACAAGGTGGAAGACTCAAACTGCACCCTTCATGAGTTCTCTATAACTGGTTCTACTTATGCCCCTGAGGGACAAATGTGAGTGTCACAGTTTAAACATGTATCACTTTTATTGGGGAAAGTCTTTCCACCTTAAATACCTCATTAGGTAAAAAAGGACGTTTCTCTGATTTCGTATTTTAACAACACAATTTACACTCAGCTCAAGTACTCTGTATTGTTATCTTCAAAATAAGATATGATTCAAATAGATGCAGCCAAGCGAGGTGTGATGTGGTCTGTGGTCCAGGATGTGTTACATCACTGCTAATGATTCCCCCTAAAAACGTGTCTAGCTGTGCTTTACGTGTTGCTATGGCTGTTTCTGTGATAACCGGGGGAAATAGCTGGTAAACCTGAGCATATGTTTTTGTTGACTATCTCGCAAAATCGTAAAAACCCTAAAGCCTCAGCTGCACTGTATTCCTATCGAGTTACACACTTTCTCGGTTGAAATTGTTCGAGTGCAGATAAACTTAACAAAAGGTTTTAAACATGGGCATTTTGATCTCTGCTGTGTCAGAAAGATGTTTTTATGTCAGTAAATCAGCATTTGTGGAGGAATATAGGTAGGTGGCTAGTCATTATGTAGGAGAAGGATTTCTGCAGTTCATTATGTATGCATGTTGTTTATTTGGCTGTTTGGTGAGTACAGCACTCTGCATGAACCTGTCGATTTCATAACAGCAGAGTGGGTTATTGTGTGGGAGCTTCGCTAGCAACCGTTGCAGTCTCTACTGGGAAGGGATCCATGGTTGTCATGCAATCAGCACTGCTTGTCAGGAACATGCACGAGCGCGCACACGCACGAAGGCACTGTTTACTACCCTACAACCACTGTTTCACCAGTCAACTCTGGAAAGCTAAACAACTGAACATCTTCCCCGCTCATAAATATTGACGAGGTTACTGTGTCTGACGTGTAGCGAACTGTGAAGTGTTTTTCCCTTGTGTGTTGTGAGTGACATTTGTGCTTTTCTTTGTGTTTGTGTGTCTGTGTGTCCGTGTGTCCTTCTAGACTGAAAGGAGAAAGGCCCGTCCAGTGTGGTGACTATGATGGACTTTTGGAGTTGGCCACTGTGTGCTCTATGTGCAATGACTCTTCACTGGACTACAATGAGGTCTCACACACACACACACACACACACACACACACACACACACACACACACACACACACACACACTCAAACAAGCATAGAGATATAATTTTTAAGTTTCTATGCAAAATAAACCTGTAGCACTTACAGCATTGTGTCATGTTTCTTTGCATTATATGTAATATACATATACATACTGTATATGCACTGACTATGAAAAGTAGCGCTGAAATACACACACACACACACACACGAGAAAGCTTTTTCTTGTTCAGCTGAGCTAATTTTTACTCGATGTTTTTCTCTGGTTTGGATTACTTTCTCACCTCTTTGTTATCACCATGTTATCATGGTAACCATGCGGAGGAGAGAGGCCAGGGATACGGCACTCCTCAGCTTCCATGTGTCCTCCCTAGATTTACTGTTTTTCTCTCCTCCTAAACGGTCGCTTTGCCACCAATTTTGTACATTTCTGAATAAAGTGTGAGAATAAATTGTGCTGGAGAGAGAGAGGGGAAGGGGAAGGGGAAGGGGAAGGGGGGGGGCAGCGCAGCAGAGCGCTGAAGTGGTGCGAGGTGTTTTATTGCTGTCTGTGCTTGCTCATACAAACAAATGATGTGTGGTACGCCATTACTGCTTCATCTCACCTTCTCCACTTCTCAGCCGGTCAGGACACACATTTAAAACCACTTTGCATGTATGACTCAAAGTTTGTGGAGGCAGAGGTGAACGACTGGCAGACTTGCTCACAGCGTGTTTGCTTTGGACTTGTTCTTAACGACTTAATCGCTCTTTAAATACTGTATCACTATAAAAATTCAGTTCAGCAGCATGTTTTCAATGTATTTCTGTTCTCCTATAGGCCAAGGGGGTTTATGAGAAGGTGGGTGAGGCCACAGAGACGGCTCTCACCACCTTGGTGGAGAAGATGAACGTCTTCAAGACTGACCTATCTGGACTCAGCAAGGTGGAACGTGCCGGGTCCTGCAACTCGGTAAGCTACACGTGGAGATGTGTGTGATGCTCCTGATCTCCGCTTGAGGTGAGAGGGTCCAGGCTACATAAGCAGCTTCTAGCATAACACACCCGAATTTCCAACTAAATTGTCGGCGGTAAAGTTGCATTATGGGTAATTTACCAGACAGACAAGGAAGAAGAATGTGTGGATAAAAAAAAAAAAAAAAAAGATGATATCTCTGTCCCATCATCAGTATCTCAGGTCAAACAGTGTTATAGGATTGTTATTGTTAAATCTGTGGAGTAATGTTTTAACGTCCAATCAGTGATGTGTCAAGTGTTTGAACCAAGTCTCTGTACAGTATTAACGCTCATTCATTCACTCAGCTACAGTGAGGACATTGCTTCCTTCAGTGACTGCTGCAGGCTTCACACTTCTCAGCAGGAACATGCCACTGAGACTGCAATTACTGCCCTCATTACACCATACTGTACACTTCCCTGGTTATGCTTTGCACAGGGGGCGACATAATGACCTAGTGTGCCCCCCCCTCTTGTACTCATTTGTATGAGATGATATTTTGCATTTAAGCATTGTTGTGGCTCTTATCCAGAGTGACTTACAATCAGTCAACAGGTCAGGGTTCTTTGTGCCGCTCAAGGACTATTTAATCAAGCGCAAGGTTGTTGATAGACACCAAACACGTTTGACTTCAGGGCATGGACGTGTGATTGTTTTTGCTAAAGATGTCAGCTATAACAATATTTAAAATATCATTTACAACCGCAGTAAAGACGGTAAGCCTGCCTGCTGCATGAGTTTGAGTTCAGGTCAGTTTTGGCTGCAGCTTCTCACAAACGAAGTGCTCGACCTCCTTTAAGAAGGTGTCGGGGTCTGTGTGGGAAAGGTCTGACTCTGACCTGTGCATGAGGGGATTGCTAAGCTGATGTTGGTGTCATCCGCTGTGGTGATCTCTGGTTCTGAGCCTTCTCGCTCCGCTGTAGGTAAAGGCGATTGAAACCCCTTTTGGTTTCGCTTTCAGGAAGAACAAAGCTCGTCAATGACAATAACACTTTCTCAGATGAAACGAGCCTTGTAGTGACAGAAGTCTCAGTTTTTCTGTTTCTAATTCAAACCTCTGAGTCGACCCAGTCCACCTGCTTAGTGGATAAATGGACAAATACAGGACACTTCTTATCAATAATATACTTCCTCAGCAAATTCTAGATGAGATGACCCCTTAACTTTGCGAATCTCTTCTGGACGTACAAAACTTTCACCAGCATGCCGTGCCAAGACAAACTCCCATTGCTGTCCCAGCTTGATTAGAGAGGACACGTTTGTCACATTGATGGATTTCAGCACATCTATCAGATGTTTAAAGTCCCCTGGCTCGGGGTGCGTACATCACACAGAGAGCATCATCATTGTTAAGCTTTCAAGCCTTTCATGTGCACTGGGATCAGCACAGACTGAACTAGAGGGACACCTACTGGTAGAACAAGACCTGACACAACAGGCAGATTATACAGTACGGAGGGTTGATTTTAGGCTGAATTTTGTGTTCCTATAAGAAACCTATTATGGTCTGCCTCCTCATTAGTCATTTCTGCTATGGCTTCCTGTTATTGCTAATCGTCCTCAGCCAGGTCCACATTAACTTCAAGTGCTGTTGTCCACAGACATCTGCTAGCAGCCAGACATCCAGACAAGGTGGTTAAGTGCTTGATTTAAAGTGTCACCCTTCAGCTGTCAGAAGCTCAGCCAAACCTCTCAGTCACCCGCCGGCTGCCGGCCTGACAGCTGCCCACGAATACAGCCACTTAGCTCAAGCTCTGACTCTTTGTCTCCACCTCCTCCTCTCTTCTTCTTCCTCTTCTATTTCTTCACCTCCTCCTCCTCTTCCTCCTCCTCCTCTGTCATTTCGACTATTACCTCCCTCCTTCTTACCCCTCAGGTGATCAGACAGTTGATGAAGAAGGAGTTCACCCTGGAGTTCTCTCGTGACCGCAAGTCCATGTCTGTCTACTGCACCCCCGTCAAGCCGGGCTCCCAGAGCAAGATGTTCATCAAGGCATGAACGAATGATGCGATCACAAACACACAGGAAAATATACTTTTCATCGCTTCCATTTGAACTCCGTTTTCACCATTGTTTGATGTCTCCTTTCTTGTGTCAATTACAATCCGTCCCCTCAGGGTGCTCCGGAGAGTGTGATGGAGCGGTGTCAGTACCTACGCGTGGGGACAGGGAAGGTGACGCTGACACCGGCCCTGCGTGACCAGCTGATGTCCAAGATCAGGGACTGGGGGACAGGCAGGGACACCCTGCGCTGCCTGGCTCTGGCCACACATGACACCCCGCCACGCAAAGAGGACATGGACCTGGAGAACTCCACCAAGTTTGTGGAGTATGAGGTAGAGGACCTCAGTAACATCTGATGTTTAGCTTGGGAATCCCAACTGACATTTTCAGGATTTCAAGGATTTCTAGACAAGGGTTAGATGAGAAGATTGAGACCGCCCTCATGTCTGTCCACTAAATACTAAGCTAGAGCCAGGAGACAGTTAGATAGCTTAGCTTACAGCCTGGAAACAGCTAATCTAACACTAATTACCAGCACGTGATGATGAAGTGTGGAGGTGCTAAACCACCCAGTGCCTTCTAAACTAGTAAGTCAAACTATTCCTTTCATGTCATCGTTTGCAGTTCTCTCTCTTTTGTTTGAATCACAGTAGCCATTAAACCTTCATCCACTTAAAGAATGAGGCTTTCACACCTTCTCCCCTTGGAACAGTTCCTTGTTTTCAGCACCAATATAAATACAACAAACTAGAGTCCACCTCAGTGGAATTGGAAAGAGACTACAGCCCTTTACATCCTTAATTCTCTCCGTTTTTCCTCTCCATTCAGCTGGGTCTCACGTTTGTTGGCTGTGTGGGCATGCTCGACCCGCCCAGGAAGGAGGTGATCGGTGCGGTGAAACTGTGCAACGAGGCCGGTATTCGCGTCATCATGATCACGGGAGACAACAAGGGCACAGCTGTGGCCATATGCAGACGAATCGGCATCTTCGGGGAGGATGAGGACGTGGCGGGAAAGGCCTACACGGGCCGCGAGTTCGACGACCTCCCGCAGGAGGCGCAGAGGGACGCCGTCAAACGGGCGCGGTGCTTCGCCCGCGTCGAGCCGGCTCACAAGTCGAAGATCGTCGGATACCTGCAGTCATTCGATGAGATTACTGCCATGGTGAGGGGAGGGGATGATGCTCTGATGACTCTCACTGGCACCCACACACCAACTTCAACTTACCTACACTGCTCTCTCCTTCCTACACATACACACCACATATATCTTTGTCACATACAGCGTATTTCTTTATGTCTCTAGCAAGGCGAAAGTTTATTTTCTGCGTCCTTCGGCTGTGATGTTATGTGAGTGATTTGTCGAGGATGCATGAGAAGAGGACGGCGGGGCGTGACATGTTTCAGGTCTCTCTGAAGCTGCTCCCTCAGACACAGCTATCTAAAGCTGTCATCTCCTGCCCGCTCTGCTGCTTCCTATCTGACACACGTCTCAGAAGAGGGGCTGATGGGAGGGAGGGGAAACAACAATATCACCATTTGCCTGTCACACAGACTTCACCATTCACCGCAGTATCAAGCGGCTTTAGGCCCTGCTACCGCAGATAAACATCTCTCTCTTGCTCAGCTTTAGCTAAATCCCGTCTGGATCTGAGACGATAATGAGACTTTGCATAATGAGACAGCGGTTTGTCTTCAGTCACTGTTAGATTCATCGCTGTTTAAAGAATAATCCTCTCAGAAAAAAACATCACATGGGCTCAATATTTAAAGAGTGATGAACTCACATTTAAAGCAAAAGTAATAACGGTTCCAAACATCGCATGACGCTGGTTTATGAGCAGCTAAGAAATTATTTGAGCTTTTATTCTTCAAAGAGATTCATCCAACTCTCTGATCCTTAGAAATCTTCCTCTGTTGTTTGAAAGTAGTTCTTGTCTATAAAATATCTTTGAGTTAACAGTAAATGTTACAGCTTCCAAAAGAAATTATGGGTCTTGAGTCTTTCATGGAAATATAAGTTACATTTTGTGGTTTTGTGGTTTTTAATTCAATTTAATTTTACTTCAAATATAATCTTGTGTTCTGATGCAATAATGATACAAGTAATCTCTTCTTGTCCCAGACGGGAGATGGTGTGAACGATGCCCCAGCCCTGAAGAAAGCAGAGATTGGCATTGCCATGGGCTCTGGGACTGCAGTGGCCAAGTCAGCATCTGAGATGGTGCTGTCTGATGACAACTTCTCCACCATCGTGGCTGCCGTGGAGGAGGGCAGAGCCATCTACAACAACATGAAGCAGTTCATCAGATACCTCATCTCCTCCAACGTGGGAGAAGTCGTCTGGTGAGGAACGGAAAAGGCACACGGAGATAAAGCCACCGTGCCGACCGGCTCCACCTCCAGTCTGACCTCCCCGGCTGACGTTTGTGTGTCTCCCCTCTCTGTTTCGCCTTCAGCATCTTCCTGACGGCCATCCTGGGTCTCCCCGAGGCTTTGATTCCAGTGCAGCTGCTGTGGGTTAATCTGGTGACCGATGGCCTGCCTGCCACTGCCCTGGGCTTTAACCCGCCAGACCTGGACATCATGGACAAACCCCCTCGCAACCCGAAGGAGCCTCTCATCTCTGGCTGGCTCTTCTTCAGATACCTGGCCATTGGAGGTATAATTAGCTCTGATTTGATTAAACTACTGTTAATCAGTGTGACTCTGTCATGGTGGAGAGAGGTTTCCAGGTTATTCCAGCAGCAGGAGGGTAGAAAACACATGAAAACACATTGTCATGGCAGCTTATATATGGACATTTTCATTATTAGAAATCTTGCTGGAAAGGTGAAAGTTTTCTTTTTTGAGATGAATTTTAACACGGCACCCACAACTTTTATTATCGTACATCACACATCGATAGCCACCTATCGCCTCTAGCTAGCTAACATGGCACATGATGTTCCAGCGACAAATGGCAGCTACGATAGTGATAACGCTAACTGAGACGACATGAACCCACGTAGCGAAATTAAATTTCAAGCCCAACATGTGACTGCGTCCTCGGCCCGAGTCTGGCCCATATACAGCGCTTCCACATCTGGGCTGATTCTGGCTGTTATACACCGCACCAGGATTGGTCCAAATGTGGAAGCAGCATCTGAGAGTCATGCTGTATGTGGGCCAGGCTTGGGCCGAGGTTGCGGCCCAAGTATTCACCAGAATAATTTTGCTCCCTGGGAAGTCAGCTGTTCAGATAGTGAGAGATGAACTATGAGAGTATTCAACACCATCAATAGACAGCACAGGTTAACAGCACAGATGCCCCCCTCATACAAGCATAAAAAAAGGAAACGTTAGCATAAAAATCCACATTAGAAAAAAAAGTAGCATTAGCATGTATGAAATTCCTGGGACAAGTTAAGCAGTTAGCAGCCCCCTAATTCTAGGTGTTGATATTAGCATGTATGAACTTCCTCTGTTCAGAATATAGTAGATATACTGTCCAATGCAAGCAATAACTATTTATCAGCCAGGCAGGATCGTGAAAAGACATTTGTGATTTTCTTTTCTCTAAAATATAAAGACGACAACAAAATGTGGTCGGTCTGCTCGTCTATCATAACGTGACATAAACACACACTAACAGAGTGAGTTTCCTTAAAACAAGCTCTTAAGTCATTGTGATTTCCCTCCACTGCGTGTGACTCTCGCAACGACATTGTTCGGAAAACAAATTTCCATCCTGGGAGTTATAGTGACATTTGACTTAATTTATACATACACACTTAATACATAAGTCTCCGACTGTTTCTCCTGCAGGATACGTGGGTCTTGGAACAGTGAGCGCTGCGACGTGGTGGTACCTGTTTGATGAGGAAGGCCCACAGGTGTCTTTCTATCAGCTGGTAAGTTGCAAAATGTTGTTCTGCCGAGTCTGAGTCTGAGTCTGAGTCTGAGTCTGAGTCTGAGTCCGCCTTGTTGTGTTTGCTGCAGCACGGCCCTGTCCTCAGAGGAGAGGGTTTTAATTAGCGTTATGTTTCGATATGCACCACCCTCCACGTCTTCTTTACATTCCCCGCTGTCGGACACAGCGATGTTGGGGGGCGATCCCAGCAGCGTACAGAAATAGAAAGGGAAGTGAGACCCCATGTGGTTTGAATGCACACAGGGTAGGAACGACGCCAAGGTTGTGCAGCTGTTCCCCCATCAGATCCCGGCTCCATCAAAACCAGGTCACAGGGGTCCGGCCGACACACACAGGCACAGACACACATACACACACACACACACACACACACTCACACACTCACACTGGCTCCTGTCTGTCTCTCTCCACAGCGACATTTCATGCAGTGCACCGAGGATAACCCCATGTTCCAGAAAATAGACTGTGAGGTGTTTGAGTCCCGCTACCCCACCACCATGGCCCTGTCTGTGCTGGTCACCATCGAAATGTTCAACGCGCTCAACAGGTCAGTCATCTTGTGTTGTGGTGCTGAGGTAAACACTCCTTAAATGTCACAGCTGTCAGAGGTTTATGAGAAAGAAGAGACACTGTCATCCACCAAAACACTGTCGTCCGTCTGATGGATAACGACAAACTGTCCGTGCCAGAAAAACACATCCGTCACAAACATCAGTTCTGTTCACTGCTGCAGGACGTAATGTTACTCTTTATAACGCTCATATTTATAATATCCTGTATTTGGTGAATGTGGCGAAGGAATCAGGCTAACACACACACACACACACACACACACACACACACACACACATCTTAAGAAATGGAATAATGCTTTTTTTTGAGGAGACAGAAAATGAAAGGAACAGTGGCATGAAGGGAAAACTCCCTGTGTTTTTGCCAGGATTGCTCATGGAGCAAGTCTGTCAGTAGCTCCCTATAGAAACAAATGCTAATGTCTCTTTTAGGAAAGAATCTGAGAAAGGGAAGGTTAAAATAAAGGACTGTCTGACCAATGAAAGTGCATGTTATCCAGAGCCAAGAAGGGGGACACGTGTTTACACGGTTGCTAGCAGGAGGGAGACTTGTTGTTATGATGCATTTAGTTTTATTTGATTGATTGTACGGCTCATTTGTTTTAATTGTGATGTAGTTGTACTTGTCCTATGGGAAACTAATGAAATCTGTGAGCTTTCCAGAATATTATTGTTTGAAGGAATAACTTCCATTTAAGTCCCTAATGTCAAGTTTAGCAGCTAAATTGTCAACATGTTTTGATCTACTAAAACTTCTCTCTGACAGTTTGTCTGAGAACCAGTCCCTGGTCAGGATGCCTCCCTGGGTCAACATCTGGCTGCTGGGAGCCATCATCCTCTCGCTCTCCCTCCACTTCTTAATCCTCTATGTTGAGCCTCTGCCGGTGAGTACACAGGACAGTTGTTTGGCCAATACTCATATACTCACTGAAGACGGTCCGAATTCACGGCTTCATGTTCGACTTAAAGGCAGATTCTTTTTGACAACGCGGACACTGGTGTTGTTTCTAAAGACGAAAAAAAATCTCTTGAGAGAAAAGTACGGTTGTTATTTATATAAAAATACATAAATAACAATATTGTGTACCGTATTTATTTTTGAAGACAATTTCTTTTTTGTGGTAGAAGCTTGTTGTCGTGAGGTTTCATATTTCACATACAGAATATAAAGTGGCTTAAATAATTTGGATTTGTTCTAATCTCCAAAACTAGACGAGCAAATGTTGTTTTTAGTCCATCTGTGGTGAGACGATCCTCCGAGGGTTTAATGTTGATGTGATATTTTGTTTTTGGCAGCTCGTGTGAAAGGGAACATTTTACTGCACAGCCTGACCAGATCTGTTCCGATCACATATCATGCATAAATTCTGAATATGAATACCGTTGAGAACCATTCAGAAAAATACTTCCAAACGACTTACGGGGATTTCAGTTCGTCTCCATGGAAACACATGAGGCACATTTCATCCCCCTCACAGTCCGCGAGCCCGGAGCGTGGACTTTTTTGGATTCAGCCAAGTTTCCAGGGGTTCTTTAAATATGACCAGTGTGCTCATCACTTTTTAGTGTCCCCTGGAAACGTGTGTTATTCTGCAAACTCACTTCCACTGAGCTCTGTGAAACTGCAGCGTTTCTATATTTGGTTGTGTTTTGTGTGTTTTGCAGCGTGTTTCTGTGTTTAGCTGCGAACACGAAACTATTTGCCGCAGGTTTCCATATGTGGTTGTGTTCTCTGTGTTTAGAGTGCGTTTCAGTATTTACTCGTGTTTCCTGACTTCATTTGTTTGCCTGGCCTTCTCTTTGCTTTGTTTGTTTTCTCACATTGCTGTGTGTTGAGCTCACAGGGGCCACCGCAGAAAAAGGGCTTCACTGCACATTGTCAGCTGTTGCTCTATATCTACCCTCTGATTCCCGTCTGTCCCGCAGCTCATCTTCCAGGTGACCCCCCTGCGCTGGTCCCAGTGGATCATGGTCCTGAAGATCTCCATTCCGGTCATCCTCCTGGATGAGGCACTGAAATATATGTCCAGGAACCATCTAGAAGGTACGTGGAGCCTTTTTCTTCCGCTTTCCCAGTGAATAAAGAATCTGGTCTTATGAGTCTGACATATTTAAAGTTGGTGAGGCTTATTAAAGTCAGTGGTGTTGAAAATCAGATTTTACTAACAAGTCTCTTCTGCTCTTTTTTTTCTCTTCTGCATTTCTAATTCAGCCTAAATTCTTTTTATCTCACCTTCTGTGAAAAGGTACTCGATTTCCAACCTCTTCATGCCTTCTCTCTCCAGTAGCTGTAGACTACTCACACTGGTTTCTACGGTTCCTAAATTCTGTGTGTTTTGTTTCTTTTTTTTTTTCCCCCACCCTGCAGGTGATGAGGAGAAGAAATATCGGAGGAGATGGCAGCTGAACTAAGACCTCTCCCTCAACACACTCACACAGTTTAGACACACGCCTACCCACTTCCCTTTATGAGCTAGGAGCCTTTTCTCTCCCCCCTGTCCTCGTTCCCCGCTCCTGCATGTCCAACAAAGCACCACTAGAAAATGAGCAGGGCTTGCATGAGAATGAGTGTGCAAGAAAGAGAGCATGGCTTTGTACGAGTGTGTGAGTAGATGAACACTCTGTGTGTGTTGTGTGTGTGTGTGTGTGTGTGTGTGTACAGGGAGATGCAGGCCTGTCTTTATAGTTGCGAGAGCGAGAAACAACTGCAGAAAAAAAGGATAAAACTGCCCAGGGCTCTGCTTTTTAAAGATTTCTGCTCATTGTTTCAGTTTTTTTTTTGTTGTTGTTTTTGACTGTACAGTACAAACATAGTGGTGCAGTACCTGGACTCTGGGGAGGGAAGGAGAGGGAGGACAGGGGGATGATGGAGGGTGATATTGCCGGGTGGGAGGGGAGGGGGGAGGGGGTTGGGGGTGGGTTTGAAATCAGCACAGAGACTGAAAGAGAGATAGAGAGGAGAAACCTGCCGTGGAGAAGAGACCGGAGGACACGCCGGCAAAAGAAGAGCATCAGCAAGAATGTGGAAAATGAACTTGGCTTTTCAGGGTTTTCCCTGGTCGGCGCGTGTGAGTGTGTGTGTGTGTGTGTGTGTGTGTGTGTGTGTTAGATCAATGCAGAGAACCATTGCACCTGTGTGTGTCCACAAAAGCATTATCTGGAGGTACTGCCCAGGCTTCTGGCACCCACACTACTGGCAGTGAATTGCAGCCAGCTCTGCAGGAGCGCGGCCTTATCAGCACAACACAATGGCATCTCTGCTCCTCCACCGCTCTTCGTCTTTACTCTCACCACAAACAAACAAACTCCTGCTCATCGGATCTTACGCAGAGTTACTCTCCTTTTGCCTGTCTTGCTCTCTCTCTCTCTCTCTCTCTCTCTCTCTCTCTCCGTCTCTCTGTCGAGGAGGCAGCTGTGGGCCCCGGGGTCGTGACGTTATATCGGGCTCTTGAGTTTGGGGTGTGGAGGTGTCGCTCCACCTAAAGGTGTGAATAGCTTTACGCCGCTTGGCCGCTTCGCTTCGGCTCTTAATTGGACGAGCTGAGGTCAGCTCACAGACTTGGCTAAAATAAAAACTAAGAAAATAAAATAAAAATGTCAAACAGCAACCAAACCAGCATATTAGTAGAGTAGTTGTCGGCCAGTCCGCCCAGCTGGTTCTGTTAGCCTCACTTTAATGTCCATCTGCTGCGCTGCCATTGGAGTTTTAGCTGTCGGATATCTAAATCAAAGGTAGATCAAAACACGAGGACGATGCTCCGTGACATTTTGTGTGTCTCGGAGAATCACACTGTTCATCTACCTTTTTAATTGATCCAGTTATTTCTAACCCTGCACCCAGTGCTAAGATGTGTGTGCATATTCGTAGCCTTACTTGAATTAATTCGTCTAATTTGACTTGATAGACATTTCAGTCACTGAATCGCACAGAAGATGTAGTTAAAGTAAGTTAAGGAATGGCAAGTAAACCGCTTGATTGTCACGCTTGGTCATGAATCCTTTATATATTAGATACGTTTAACGTCCATGCCTTATACAGCCCACTGCACCTCCACATTGAATATGTGGTTCAAATGAATGTGTTTCTGCTTCCGCCTTTAATGACCTTTTCTCACCCACTTCCACCACTCTCTCTCTCTCTCTCTCCTGCGTGTCATAATGATTCTCATCACTTGAGGTCTTACAGACTCTGAATGTCCACCTGGTCTGAGGCATGTTTTTTTTAATAGGAAACCCTTTTTTTTTTTTTCTTTGTGCTTCGCACGCTGCTCCCTCAGCTCCAACTGCTCTTTCAGTGCTTTGGCGACTCACTTGGGTATTGTTTTATAATGATTAATAATAATGTATTTGACTGAATGAACCCGCGGGGGTGTGGATTGTGTCTTTAAGTCTTAATCATGGGGTTTGTGTCGGGCCCTGGCGCCCTGTGGACCGGGTCAGGGGTGTTTTTGGTCTCTTGTTGCCTCCACACAGGAGAGAAGAGAGTGTGCACATTCAAGAAAGAACTTTGTAAAGGTGCTGGATCAAAAACAGGAAACAAGATGTCCACACCGTGTCAACTGCTTCTAACTCATTTAACAATGCTCGCTTTTCAATCACAGAGATCTTCAAGGTCGGGCTGCAATTGGCAACTATTTAGATAAATGATTGATCATTTTTCAAGCAAATTACCAAATATTTGATGGTTTCAAGTTCTCAAATGGGACAATTGACTATAATTAAAAATAATATTTTTGGATTTTAGTAAGAGACATTTAGGGATGTCACCTTCTGCTCAAAGTTATTGTATTTTTTCAGTTTTCTGATGTATTATAGACTGATGATTGATTGAGAAAATAAAAGATGCCTGCTTCAGTGCAGCTTTTGCCTGATGCACATCTGTGCAGGTTGTTTCCAAAGGAATTGAACTAGGAGTTATTGACACGATGTGCAGATCTTTATTCTTTTTCCTCCCTTTTCTTGCTTCCAGACATTATTTCAAACGAGCAGGACTGGTTTCTGCATGGTGTAAAATCTAAAGGGAAATCCATCCTTAAAATCTTCAGTCTGCTGTTGCTTGGAGTTCTCTATGTTGTTGTTTTCATCTATTTTGTTGCTTGGTGATGTTTTTTTTGTTTTTTTTCTTACCCCAGAGGAGAACCAGCCAAACTTAGACGGCATGACATCATTGAGTCCAGATATTTCCAGGTCCACATTCTCTCTGGGGTCATGGTTGGAAACGTACAGTAGGAAATCACTCGCTCCAGCAGAAGTTGATGATAATTAAGGGGAAGGACACTAAAAAGTCAATAACAACATGTCAGCAGAAACAACATGCTCTGAACATCACAGAATAATGATTTAAGGGTGGACTGTTCCTTTAATTTTTATCCCAGACGCTAGATTTTTTTTTTTTTTTTTTTTTTTTTTGACATAAACCTCCTTTTTTCTTCCGTGGTTTTTTCGGTTTTTTTTTTTTTTCCTTTTTTTTTTTTTTTCACCCCCATGACAATGACAATGTGGCACCTCTGTCCAGACCAGCAGACACCCGTCCCCGTCCCAGGGCTCCATGGCTCTGTAACATGCTGGCACTCTGGCCACCGGGCACTATAGGTCTGTATAGCCTTGTTATTTACTACTGACTCCTCAACTCTGTACAGAAGAGGAGAATATGATCGCATGGAACCTTGTTACTGTAATAATAACCTATACAGTATATAATATTTAATTTTTGATAACTTTAATCAATTAAATCTACTTACCAACAACAGACAGACTTGCGAAAAACCATTTTTTTATGTTTCTTTTTGAGCACATGTTTTTTTTTTTTGGTTTTTTTTTGTAGAATAGAAAGGTTGTTTCTTCATTGTTCCCGTTTGGTTTTTACAGTTACTGGGGTTTTTTGTGTCTTTTACTGTAGGGAAAAGAATATGACGTTATCACTTTAAAGATAGACAAGAGTCATGCTTACGCTAATTAAATGATGATGACCCTGATCATGTCAGTGATAGTTATCCAGTGTGAGAATGTTCAAGAATTTGTGAATGAACTGTGTCTGGTTTACACTGAGCGATTAGCAGTGATGAATCCTGGCTTATGAAGTTTTATGACTGTATATTGAAGGGCTTGGTGAGGATGCAGGCTCTAGAGACCCGTGACAGTCCAGCGCGGTTCTCAAAGTCATCTGCCACCTATAAAAAAAAAACAACCTCCCTTCCTAACAGTGAAGGAGTGATCGGTTTCATATCAAAAACATTTGACCAGTGGTTTCCTTTTATTCATTGTCTGTATAGACAAGTGAACAGTCTCTAGAGCCTGAGTTCCACCTCTGAGAAATTAAAGGATTCTCTGTATTGCCTTGTTAATATTAATTGTGGACACATAATTTTATAAATGACAAAGACGTGGAAATAAAGATTATTTATCTTGTTATTTATTCAGAGCTTGTGTTATTTTTCATGCACCTTTTTCTTTGTGGATTATCCTGAATAAACAACAAATTGTTTTTATAATATCATTTTTTTGGTTGCTTTGAGGAGCCCAGACACAATTCAGAGTATTCAGAGTGGGATAACTGTAAACTGGGAACAAAAGATAAAGTTATCTGCACAGCTAGACGCCACGAGGGGGAAAGGTTTTCTTGGTAGAAATGGGTTTATGCATTTTTCAGACAGTTTTTCTCCATTTTTTTTTTTTTGATGCGATGTAGGAAACAAAACATCCAGTTCTGAGAATAGGTGACACATGGAAAAAAAAAACCTAAACACGTGCTGCAGAAGGTGCTGTGTCCTCAGAACTGTTCATGACCAAGAGTGGAGCATTCACATCCAAAAAACTATAAATCATCCAAACAGAAAACAGTGAGTATAGAAATAATCATATATTGCAACAAAAGATTTGAAGACTGGAGACACAGGACACATCAAACCTTGAGCTGAGACCTGCAAACATTTAATGATGAAAACACAGATTGCAATAATATTTGGGGAAGTCTGTTCACTACCATATTTCTCTCCTCACCACACATGTAATATCAGACAACTTCACTCAACTCAACTTCATTTACATTACAACAAACTTTACAGAGACTCTGCCTCAAAGTATCACAAATATATAAGATAATTAAAAATCAAAATGACTTATCATGCAAAAATCAGAAGTCAGATTAGCAAGCTGTTAAAATATGCAGAATGTCAATTAATTACAAAGACAATCAAACTAAACTAAAGAAAAAATGACATGTACCTTAAAGTGCTACTTTATAATTCAAACGTCACATAGCTTCAACCTGATGATCCAGCGTTACGATACTGTGAACGTTGCTTTCTCTTTAAGGGACCGAGCTGAGACATGTAAACTTTTGTGTCATCGTCTCTTCGGTTTTCCCAGAGTTTATCTGAAGGTTATGAGATTACACACCTCCCGCCAAACACCGTGTTTTCTCCTCGACAAAGGTTCCGCTATGAACATGAGTCAGCTTTTCACTAAAAGCTTTTTTTTCCCCACATTTTGACACATTCTTTTAGTCAACTATTTACTCAATTTAGACTATTTTAAATAAACTAAAATTAAAATAAGGCTAAAATAAAAATTGCCTCAGGCTGTACGACATGCTCAGAAACATTTTCACCACGTGTTCTCTCTTTAAATGTCACTTAAAATAAATAGTTTGTTTTAATTTGAATTAAATTTTCCAGCATATGGAGGCTGTTATGTCGCTCAGGTAGCACAATCCAACTGACAAAGAACCGTTTCTACTGAGTCAACTCAATAGAGACACATTCCTCTGTAATGTGAGCAGAAGACTCTCACTCAGTGTCCGCATGAAAACGTGCACGCGAGCATTTGAAGCTGTGATCACTG